GGAAGATCAAATCCCATAGAGACTCTATCTCACCACCACGCTGAACCCGGGAAGCCCTTCCCAGCCAGTCTGCAGACTGCGAGTAGAAAGCGGCATCGCTACTGAAGCAGACTCGCTACCAGTTTGCGTGGTTAAATTATTCAGGTCGGCATCTCCACAAGGAGAGAAAGAGATGCGCTTGGGGAGATCGAGGGAATCCAGGGGAAGTGTGGGGACCTGACAGTGCTATATAAATGTCATTAATTGATAATCATATAATGTCAATGGGCAGGGAGTGGAGTTTGGATGCCAAAGTTATTAGGATTCTCATTTTTGGAATTGTACTTTTACAGCCTGCTGTTGAGGTTCTGGCAGTTGGGGAGCTCAGGTGCTGTCACACAGTTAGCGATCAAACAGTTTTAATACACTTGGCCCGCACGGCCACATCTAATATATCAGGTCTTCTTCTGCAGGAAAATCTGGTTAGCTTTATAGAGCTTGAGGGACCATGCAAGACAATGATCAATGGCTAGATTCCACAAACTTTCTTCTATAGAGACATCTGATTTATTCTGTAGGAGAAGACTGATAAGGCACAGACACCCAGGGGACCAAGGTAAGTTTTCAAATTGTACAAAAAATTATGTGCTACTTATTATGGGATGACTTCAGGGAACTCTGAGAACCATAACCACTAGAAAGTACTCTGTTCGTTAAGGTGCTTGGAGTGTTTCTTTAGATTTTTCTCAATTGCTTAGTATGTTGATGCTTTATAAATAAGAACATAATATATGGAATCTTATCAAGTCGGGGGTTCAAGGGCCTCTTCCGTATCAGAAATATGCGTAGACAGTACATTGCACGTCAACTGCATTTAAAAAAAATACAGATTATGAGAAACTCACCAACAATTCATTAGCTTTATGAACTACTCTCAAAATGTAACTGTCCCAGATCCTGTCGGACCGGACCATCTTTGATTTGGAACAAGTTGTTGTAATTTTAGGTTGTAACTTTTCGACTCACTTTTTTTGGGCATCGGGAAAAATTAGACATATTAAGATGTCAATACAAGACTAGATAACTCATGTATTCTCCCTAGTGCTCTCTTATTTTCTTTGTGCTAGTGCAGACACACTTTTGACATGTATCAGACAAGTTTGATAGACATCCTTTTAAGCCACATCCCCAGTTTCCTGTATTACAAGCCTGTGAAGTATAGAATACCCCACCAGTAATTCAAACTGGCACAAATCAACATCATTTTTTTTTTTTATAAATGGTTTATTTTCAGAAGCATGGCACATCTTGCTCTCAGGCTACTTTTAAACTCTTTGTTAACCCTACTTAAATAGAATATGTTATATAATTGTGTGAAAGCCGATTATTGCTTTTCAGATGGGACTTGCTATCCAAAAGCAATTACTCTCAATTTCGGACATGCCTCTGTCTTACAATATGTCAATTCTATTGTAGTTTAACAGTTCACACTGGTTTGATCATCATATATCTTTTGTATCACTTATAATGTAAACCAAGTAACATTCATTTTTGTCTTTGGTAATATTCACATTTTAAAAGATTGTTGATTACTGAATCCTTAAATAAAAAAAAAACTATTTACAGAAATGCATTGTATATTTGGTATTTTGAGGAAAAACTAAACACCACATTTGAGAATGACTGAATTCCAACCGCAATGGCAAATTTTGATATTTACAATTTTTTTCATTGGTTCCCAGGCCAACATCCCTTAACCCCTTAAGGACTGAGCCAAATGTCCACGTTTTGATCAAAATAAAACGTAAACAAAACTTGGAATTTGACTATATGTCTGTACAACCGTAATTCACCTTTCGTATTATATGCACCCACACTTATTATATATCATTTTATTCAGGAGAAATAGGGCTTCCATTTACATCAACTATTTAGCTATGAAACATAATTTAATATGAATAAAATATTAAAAAAAATTAGATTTTTTTTTTTTTTTTTAGTTCCGCATGACATTTTAACTGTGAATGTCATAATACTGCTAGCTTTTACTGCAATAAAATACACATATTTGTATTCAGCGATGTCTCACGTGTAAAACAGTACCCCCTATGTACAGGTTTTATTGTGTTTCAGGAAGTTACAGGGTCAAATATAGCATGTTCCACGTTTTTGTTTTTTCACATTGAAATTTTTCAGATTGGTTATGTTGCCTTTGAGACCGTATGGTAGCCCAGGATGGAGAATTACCCCCATGATGGCATACCATTTGCAAAAGTAGACAACCCAAGGTATTGCCAATGGGGTATGTCCAGTCTTTTTTAGTAGCCACTTTGTCACAATCACTTTCCAAAATTATGGTTAATATTTGTTTGAAAAATGCAAAAAACTAATTTGAATGCCAATTTGAAACTAATTTGAATGCCTGGACATACCCCATTTGCAATACCGTAGGTTGTCTACTTTTGCAAATGGTATGCCGTCATGGGGTAATTCTCATTCCTGGGCTACCATACGGTCTCAAAGGCAACGTAACCAATCTGGCAAATTTCAATGTGAAAAAACTGAAACACAAGCCTTAAATTTGACTCTGTAACTTTTGTAAACACCATAAAACTTGTACATGAAGGATACTGTTATACTCAGGAGACTTCGCTGAACACAAATATTAGTGTTTCAAAACCATAAACGTATCACAACAATTATATTGTCAGTGTAAGTGCCTTTTGTGTGTGAAATATGCAATAATTTTATTTACATCCATACTCTGCTTCTTTCTGAGAATGTTATGAAGGGGAGGTGCATATTCATTATTACATAAAGCATAATCATTCAGGGGTTGAGAAATGCGATGCAAAAGCTTAAATGGATATTATAAGTGCCAGGAATACAAAGCTGTATTCCTGGTACTATAGGTCCCTCTGCCTCCAATCTCCCTCCTTACCCCCTCAAATATAATAAAATCTTGCTTTTATTCCAGTCTGCAGTCACACTGTGCAGCACTGCCATAGGAAGTATCTCTAGTAGCCATATGAGGAGTGGACAGTGGAGGTATCCCTAGGCAGTAATGTAAATACTGCATTTTCTCTGAAAACACAGGGTTTACTGCAAAAAACTTGAAGGGGCTGATTATACTCACCAGAACTAATATAATAAGCTGTAGTTTTTCTGGTGAGTAACTGACTATAGTGTCCCTTTAATGTAAACATTATTCAATACACCACATTAGTCATATACCCATGATCAAGGCACTATAACCGAATAAAAAATGTAGAATCTGCATTTGGTGTTAACATAAACAAAAAATGACAACTAAAGTACACGACAACTGTATTTATTTTGAAATGTATTAAAATAAATAACATTAAATACCATCGAACACCTTTAGGACGAACTTGACTGGACTGGAGGTAACCGTTGTCTTCCAATTTGGAAAATAAAACATATAAACTTTAACAGGTTGTAGATTAGGAACTGTAAACATCTATGCTCAAATTTAAAGGAACACTATAGGGTCAGGAACACAAACATGTATTCCTGAACCTATAGTGTTAAAAACTTCCTCTAGTTCCCCTGCTAAGCCCTTAATATAGTAAAATCTTAACATTATTGTAGTCGGTTGCTACTGGCTCTGCCTCTGATCTGCCAGCCTGGCTGTCATCATCAGACGTGTTGCTCAAAAGCCAATCACAATGTTTGCCCATAGAAAAGCATTGGCTGAGACAAGGAAACAGATCAGGGGCAGAGCCAGCACAAGCCATTTTCCAATGAGTAGCTTTGAACATTTTTTGTTCACTGGTTAGTGATCTTGAAAAAGAACTGCAAACGTCTGTGGTCTTGTGCAAATTTATCAATTACTTTTCCAATCAGCTGCTGTTTGTTTTCTTCAATTTTTACTCCATGTATGCTCATCATGCACAAACCCGATAAGCGTTCATCGGCCATGGTCGACCTCAACCAGGTTTTCACCCTTCTCATAGTGCTGAATGACCGTTCCACTGTACAAGTGGTCACTGGTAAAGTGAGAGCAACAAGAATTGCTTGCCGGACTGATGGAAATAAATCTGTGTGGTTTAGCAAATCTAATAATCCATTATCAAACTGTTTTATCTTTGCTGATTAGATCTCATACCACGTGATTGCTTCAGCTTCCAGATTTTCGAAGTTGTACATTTCTCTGATGTTTGCAATGTGGCATTTGTATTGCTCAAGTGTCATTTTTGCCATTTGTTTTGGGTACAGTGAAAACAGGCTGAAAGTTTTCTTATTTTCACTGCCAAACCGATTTCCTAATGCTGAAATAATAGAGTCCATGTATGGCACATAGATGGATTGTCGATAGTATTCTTCCACTGAAGAGCAATTAAAATTAGAACGAAATACTTGTTGGCCACACGGTGTGGGAACAGAAAGTTCGATGTTCAAGTTTTCTGCCATTCTTTGAACGCTTGAAAATATTTCCTTGAATTGCTCTTCTGCCTTTTTTTCTATGTTCATGGAACACGGTCAGAAGGTCTTGCACGTGATCACAGACCTGGAGAATATCAAGCTGAACAGCTTGGAGAGCCTGGCTTACGGATTCCAATCTCGAGGAATAGTTTGCAATGATATTCAAGCAAAAGAGGAAGCTCACTGTACTTGAAGAACATTGCAATTGATATGCGTCCTGACGTGTTTTGCCAGATGCTGTAGTGACCAGGAAGCTTAATTCTTGAAAAAAAAATTCAAAGTTAGAGCAAAAAATTCTAATGCTCTTATATTTTGCTGTCCAGCGTGTTTCACTCAGCAATGGCACATTGGGAATAAGAGATCTTCTTTTTGGACTCTCACGGAAAAACTTGATGATGGCCTTCACTGTGCCAACAGATTTCCGTATATTAGGAACAGCATTCAGGTAATTCACAACCAAATTCAATTTATGTGCAGCACAGTGAGCATCCATCATATCCTTGGCCATGGAGTTTTTCCAAGTTTAATCCAAATTTAGAACAGGAGTCCATAATCATATTTGCAATTGAGGTAGCATTCATTTCTTTTAAGGTTGCAAATCCAAGGAATTCTTCTTTGATGACCCCTACGGTGCTACTTGTGTCTACAAAACGTACTCCAATTGACATCTGTTCTTTTCCAGATATGTCAGCACTTTCATCAGCAATGACTGAAAAACCATTTGACCTATTGACTAAGTTAACCAGATCCTCTCTTAAAGTTTCCTCGCACAAGGCAATCAATTCATTTTCAACTCGAACTGATGTGTAGCGTGTGTTAATTGGCGCATTCTCCAGATGGTTCTTTAGGACTACATCTCCTGCTTCAATGCGAAATTGGTAAAGACTTTGAACATTTCCGCTTGTACTTTTTTTCCCACACAAAGCTATGTCATGATTGCCATAAAATATGATAGTAGACAGAATTGGAAATAACTTTATTCGATTTTCTTCAACATGACGCTTCACAGCGCTATCTATTTGGCAAACAATACTTGTTTCCGGTTTCTTTCTGTTCTCCAGAAATTGATTTGCATCCGCATGGGCATTTTTATGCCATGATGTTGAGATATGGTTGCGTGCACTTTCATGCAAATCTTTATATTTGGTGAAAGGTGTCGTTATGAAAGCTCCTTGTGTCCCACGATGTACTGGCTGAGGAAAAACTGTGCAATATTTGCAAATTGCACCTTTTAGTTGTGGAGAGTAGCTAAGCCATGGTGAATATTGACTTAACCACACTCAACGGAAACAGCGTGGTCCACTAGAATCCTTTTTAAAGTCATAATTTTCTGGCGGTGTGTATGCATGAATTACTAGCAGATTGCATTTCAGATCATCTGTTAGCTTTTTGTATGAATTCATATACAATCCGATATCATTTACGGGAGCATCGAGATTGCTACATTCTGTTGGCGCTGTAACTGGATCTGCAGAACTGCTTGTGCTTGGTTCTGCTTCTTGTTCACCATGTCCAGATTCTTCTCTTCCTTCCTTATCAGATTCAAGATCATCCAATTTTCTTTTGGCAAAAAATTTGCGGATGTCCATTTTTAAAAAGAAATGGGGATCACTAAATACTCTGCTGTATTCAATAAACATGTACATTAGAACCAAGCTGTCCTTGCATAATACATAGCTTTAATGGAAAGATGAGATTGTAAACTTTAAATAATTCACCTACAATTCACTATTTATTGAATACAGCCCCATGTGTATGCAGTGTTTGTGTGTGTGTGTGTGTACATATATATATATATATAGAATGATAGATAGATAGATAAAAAGCTGAACTCTGGCACTCAACCCCCCCAAAAATGAAGAAAGTAACATTACCCGGGTGCATCCAGGCCAATAGATAAACGTAGTCAATCAGGAGCACTCACTTGGATTTTCAAAATGTGTGTATAAAGTGTTAATCAACCTACATCAACGTTTCGACCCTTCAGGGTCTTTATCAAGATCTTGATAAAGACCCGAAACGTTGATGTAGGTTGATTAACACTTTATACACACATTTCGAAAATCCAAGTGAGTGCTCCTGATTGACTACGTTTATATATATATATATATATATATATACAAATAGCGAAGGCTTGCACTCCTGGTGTAATCCTGTGGTGCCCGGTGCTGGTCTGGCAAGGATCATGTAGACATAGCAGAAATGACCGCACTCCAAGGACTTTATAGAGATTTTCAAATAAAATTTAGCTTTTATTCAATCCATTTAAAAAGTCAACGTTTCAGCTCCCACATGGAGCTTTCATCAGGACAAAACATAACTTACAAGTGCAGACACAAAGAAATATATACCCCCAATCCCTCAAAATAATTTACCTTAATTGTGTACTCACCTAGCCATGAGACAGCTTGCCCTGCATTAGAGAGTAATGCAACTCTGAGTGTGGTGGCCATGTGTGCAAGGCCCAGAAAAGGGGCGGGGCTACAGGTTACTAAGTAACAATCCAACTGGACTGGTTGCTTTCCACTTTGTGTCCTAGTAGCTACAATCATGATTGAGCTCAGGGTAAAGTAGGAGTGGATACAGAGTCTAGAATGTTTCAAAAATGAATCTGACTGTCTTCATATATTTAAACAGTATAACAGGCTGGAAGGGCCATCAGGAATCCAAAATCTGTTATCATACTGGAAATTCACTCTTTGAGTGCTGGAGCAATTCATCCAATGCAGCACTGAAAGGGTGTATCTGTTCCTGTGTAACTGAGGAAAGAGCTGAACTATAAGTCTATTCTTAAACTTGTAGCAAATAGGGTGGGCATATCTCATGGTTCGGATCTAAAAAACACATTTAATATAGACATACATGATTTTAAAAATAAAAATAAAAACAACAGCTCAAGGCAGGAGGTGTTACCATGTTAATACATTGATTATGCATAGGGTACTAAAGTTTAATAAATAATATGGACAGACAAAATGACCAGTGTTGAATTGCATAGTGTCCCCTGCATAGTTATTTATGATTATATACAAGATGTGACATGAGTAGTGTTATCTCTTAGGTACATAGCACACAGCATTGGAGTATGGTGGTCTAGTAGGGTATTTAACCCCTATATGATTAGTATGTGTGGCCAAACTATGTGTAATAGCCTAATTACCATGCATGGAATAAGCAATGGAATGATATGCAATGTATGCAGGGGGAGCATAAATCAAATTATATCAACAAGACAATTTATACACATTGCTGTATAAACAAATATGTTTAGGATTATTGGATGAGATTAAACAGTGTATTTAACTCCTACAGGGAAACAAAAAAATGTACTATAGAAACATAGATAATGTGTACTTCTCGTTCAAGCCTCTGGGATATACTGTGTCCAAAGTTTTTATCCAGAACGTTTTACGTTGTAGAAGAAGTTTACTTCGATCACCCCCACGTCTGAGGGGGGGTATATGGTCTATAGCCATAAATTTCAGGGTGGGTAACGTGTGGCCATGGGCCAAAAAGTGTTTTGCTACAGGGAGTTCAGCCTTATTGTCCCTATAGGCAATGCGAATGTTGGATCTGTGGTTGCGGATCCGTTCCCTCAGTGGGAGGTCAGTTTTGCCCACATAGGAGAGGCCACACGGACACTGAAGTTTATAGATGACAAAATCCGAAGTGCAGGTCAACCTATGCCTAATTTGGTACTTCCGCCCAGTGTGTGGATGCTGGAAGAATTTTCCAGGTATCATGTGGCTGCAGGTGACACAGCCCAGACAGCGATAGCAACCAAGGCTCTGTGCTGTTTGTTGTTTGGTGTAGCAGTGTACTGGGTCCGTCTTTACCAGGAGGTCACGTAGATTTTTTCCCCGTTTATAGCACAACATGGGTGGATTCTGAAAGATTTTTGGTAGTGTTGGATCTTCTGATAGTAAACGCCAGTTGGAGTGCAAGGTGTTCTTGAGGCTGTGGGATGCCGTATTGTAGGTGGTCGGAAAGACTAGTCGTGGTGTATCATCTTTTTTCTCTCTCATAGGCTGTTGGCTCTTATCAAGTGCTTTCTGAAGAGTAGCATCCTTGTAGCCTCTCTGTTTAAACCTATTCCATGTTTCTTTAGTTTGTAAGCATGCTCTCATGGGATCTGAGTTATTCCTTTTAACCCTTAGGAACTGGGAGAGTGGTAAGGATTCTTTCAAGTGTCGTGGGTGAAAGCTGTCAGCTTGGAGTAGGGTGTTACGATCCGTTGTCTTGGTGAATAAAGTATACCCAAGCTTCATCTCTTTTTTAAAGATATGGACATCCAAAAAATTCACTGCATCCTGGCTCACTGTCATCGTTAATTTGACCGGTGTGGGTGCCCTGTTGATGGCCTCTATCATCTCCAAAATGGACTGGTGATCTCCCTTCCATATAAGGAACACGTCAATGAAGCGCCTATAGAATAAAATATTTGCTTCATACGGTTGTAGAATGTGGAGGGTCTCAAATATATACATAAAGCTGTTGGCATACATGGGTGCCATAGCTGCTCCCATGGAGGTCCCCGCTATTTGCTGGTACCAAGTTTCTTCAAATCTGAAGTAGTTAAGTGTAAGGACTGCCTCCAGGATTTCCATGACGTATTCAATCGGGGGGCCTGTGTATGTTGTTGAGTCTTGTAACACTTTGCGCATTGCTTCTATACCATCCAAATGAGGAATGATTGTGTAGAGACTTTTCACATCACACGTTACCAGCAGTGTAGTAGTGTTGGGTAAATTGATGGTGTCCAGAAGTTTCAATAGGTCTGGGGTATCTTTAATGCAGGTGGGAAGCTTGACAACTGTATCTTTAAATAAATAGTCCAGCCACTGAGCCAATGGTTCCAGTACTCCCCCTATGGCTGACACTATGGGTCTGCCTGGTGGATGATCAATGCTCTTGTGTACCTTGGGTAAGGTGTAAATAATCGGAGTCTTAGGTGTGGACTGGATCAAGAATTTCTGTAACTCTGTTGTCACAAAGTTAGCTTCCACTCCTCTTTGTACAATCGCCGAGATTTGTTGTGTGATACATGCTGTAGGGTCGCCCTTAAGTTTGGTGTAGGTGTCTGTATCTTGAAGCTGGGATAGAAGTTCCACTCGATAGTCACAGTAGTTAAGAAGTACTATGCCTCCACCTTTGTCCGCCGGTCTAATGACCAAGTTCACATCGTTTGCTAGTGAGCGGATAAGTTCAAGGTCTTGCTTCGTTATGTTGCTGAAATGACGTTGTTTGGTTTGCAAGATTATATCCATGTCTCGCTGCATATTACGCAGAAATGTCCTTATTGATAACTGCTGTGTTGGAGGGTCAAAGGTGCTTTTGGCTCTAAAGTGACCCATTTCACTGGTAGTTGGGGAGGAGGTGTTTTTGAAGAATTCCTTCAGGCGTATGGTTCTTCCGAATTTGTATAATTCTACGTCACTCTGAAGGTGGTTTGGGAGATTGGTTGGCACAAAAGAAAGTCCTTTTTTGAGTAGTTCGGTTTCATTGGGTGTTAATATTCTATTTGATAGGTTGAAGATTGGGATTACCTCGGTGGTCGTGGTGGTTTTCCCCTTGTGGTATGATCGGCCTTTCTGGCCCCTTCTGGTAACATACCTTCTCTTTGTCTTGTTAAATTCCTTGTATGGACCCTGGAAGGTGGTCCTTGATCCTGCTCTAAAAAATCTTGTGTAGAGGATTTGTTGGACTGGTTAGAGTGTGATGGTTCTGAGTCAGAGGTTGATTCCCCAGATGTTCGGTCAACAGTAAATTGTTTAGGTTTAGATATAGGTCTTCTTCGTCGTGCAAACCGTGGTCTGTCTGCTTGACCACTAAGCCATCTGTAGACACGATGTTCTCTATAATCATTATTGACTTTCTCTTGTTTTTCTCTTTTAAAACGTACCAGGTCAGTTTTATACTCCTTCACACTCTGCTCAAGTTTAAGCATTGTTGGTGCTGCTTCAACTGCTGACAGCAATAGAGCCTCTCTTGTTTCCAGTTCAGTTATCCTTTTCCTCACTTCTATCAAGTCCTCTCTGACATCTTCTATTATTACTAACATCAAATCAAGTGAGCATTTATTCAGGACAGATATCCATCTTTTACATACCTTAGGCTTGAGCCGGCCAATGGTAGGGATGTTTTTGATCCTGAAGCCACGTGGAACTTGTAGACGTTTGTGATAGTCTGATAGGAAGAGTCCATGGAGGTCTAAGTCTGTCTCCCTTTTCCTCAATCTTAGTAACTCGAAGTAGATTTCTTTTAATGTGGTGGTGTCTGGTAATTGCGTGCATGTTGTTTCCCATCTTATCCTGTCAGCATCTTGTTCAGTGTATTGAAAAATCTCTGCTTGGTCAGCAAGGCCTCCTGCTAAGGCAAAGAAGTCATCCATCGGTGGATTTAAACGTTATTAGTCAGCTTGTAGGCTTCCCAGGTATTTGGGATAGTCTGAGAGTATAAAATTCTGAAATGTCACCAAAATATAGTCAATATTAAAGCAAGTTCTGCTTTCTGTGAGAAGATACTTATTCTCAATGTTCCGGGTGCAAAGCAAGGCTCCTGCCAATAGAGTCGTATTATACAAATAGCGAAGGCTTGCACTCCTGGTGTAATCCTGTGGTGCCCGGTGCTGGTCTGGCAAGGATCATGTAGACATAGCAGAAATGACCGCACTCCAAGGACTTTATAGAGATTTTCAAATAAAATTTAGCTTTTATTCAATCCATTTAAAAAGTCAACGTTTCAGCTCCCACATGGAGCTTTCATCAGGACAAAACATAACTTACAAGTGCAGACACAAAGAAATATATACCCCCAATCCCTCAAAATAATTTACCTTAATTGTGTACTCACCTAGCCATGAGACAGCTTGCCCTGCATTAGAGAGTAATGCAACTCTGAGTGTGGTGGCCATGTGTGCAAGGCCCAGAAAAGGGGCGGGGCTACAGGTTACTAAGTAACAATCCAACTGGACTGGTTGCTTTCCACTTTGTGTCCTAGTAGCTACAATCATGATTGAGCTCAGGGTAAAGTAGGAGTGGATACAGAGTCTAGAATGTTTCAAAAATGAATCTGACTGTCTTCATATATTTAAACAGTATAACAGGCTGGAAGGGCCATCAGGAATCCAAAATCTGTTATCATACTGGAAATTCACTCTTTGAGTGCTGGAGCAATTCATCCAATGCAGCACTGAAAGGGTGTATCTGTTCCTGTGTAACTGAGGAAAGAGCTGAACTATAAGTCTATTCTTAAACTTGTAGCAAATAGGGTGGGCATATCTCATGGTTCGGATCTAAAAAACACATTTAATATAGACATACATGATTTTAAAAATAAAAATAAAAACAACAGCTCAATGCAGGAGGTGTTACCATGTTAATACATTGATTATGCATAGGGTACTAAAGTTTAATAAATAATATGGACAGACAAAATGACCAGTGTTGAATTGCATAGTGTCCCCTGCATAGTTATTTATGATTATATACAAGATGTGACATGAGTAGTGTTATCTCTTAGGTACATAGCACACAGCATTGGAGTATGGTGGTCTAGTAGGGTATTTAACCCCTATATGATTAGTATGTGTGGCCAAACTATGTGTAATAGCCTAATTACCATGCATGGAATAAGCAATGGAATGATATGCAATGTATGCAGGGGGAGCATAAATCAAATTATATCAACAAGACAATTTATACACATTGCTGTATAAACAAATATGTTTAGGATTATTGGATGAGATTAAACAGTGTATTTAACTCCTACAGGGAAACAAAAAAATGTACTATAGAAACATAGATAATGTGTACTTCTCGTTCAAGCCTCTGGGATATACTGTGTCCAAAGTTTTTATCCAGAACGTTTCACGTTGTAGAAGAAGTTTACTTCGATCACCCCCACGTCTGAGGGGGGGTATATGGTCTATAGCCATAAATTTCAGGGTGGGTAACGTGTGGCCATGGGCCAAAAAGTGTTTTGCTACAGGGAGTTCAGCCTTATTGTCCCTATAGGCAATGCGAATGTTGGATCTGTGGTTGCGGATCCGTTCCCTCAGTGGGAGGTCAGTTTTGCCCACATAGGAGAGGCCACACGGACACTGAAGTTTATAGATGACAAAATCCGAAGTGCAGGTCAACCTATGCCTAATTTGGTACTTCCGCCCAGTGTGTGGATGCTGGAAGAATTTTCCAGGTATCATGTGGCTGCAGGTGACACAGCCCAGACAGCGATAGCAACCAAGGCTCTGTGCTGTTTGTTGTTTGGTGTAGCAGTGTACTGGGTCCGTCTTTACCAGGAGGTCACGTAGATTTTTTCCCCGTTTATAGCACAACATGGGTGGATTCTGAAAGATTTTTGGTAGTGTTGGATCTTCTGATAGTAAACGCCAGTTGGAGTGCAAGGTGTTCTTGAGGCTGTGGGATGCCGTATTGTAGGTGGTCGGAAAGACTAGTCGTGGTGTATCATCTTTTTTCTCTCTCATAGGCTGTTGGCTCTTATCAAGTGCTTTCTGAAGAGTAGCATCCTTGTAGCCTCTCTGTTTAAACCTATTCCATGTTTCTTTAGTTTGTAAGCATGCTCTCATGGGATCTGAGTTATTCCTTTTAACCCTTAGGAACTGGGAGAGTGGTAAGGATTCTTTCAAGTGTCGTGGGTGAAAGCTGTCAGCTGCCCATGGCCACACGTTACCCACCCTGAAATTTATGGCTATAGACCATATACCCCCCCTCAGACGTGGGGGTGATCGAAGTAAACTTCTTCTACAACGTGAAACGTTCTGGATAAAAACTTTGGACACAGTATATCCCAGAGGCTTGAACGAGAAGTACACATTATCTATGTTTCTATAGTACATTTTTTTGTTTCCCTGTAGGAGTTAAATACACTGTTTAATCTCATCCAATAATCCTAAACATATTTGTTTATACAGCAATGTGTATAAATTGTCTTGTTGATATAATTTGATTTATGCTCCCCCTGCATACATTGCATATCATTCCATTGCTTATTCCATGCATGGTAATTAGGCTATTACACATAGTTTGGCCACACATACTAATCATATAGGGGTTAAATACCCTACTAGACCACCATACTCCAATGCTGTGTGCTATGTACCTAAGAGATAACACTACTCATGTCACATCTTGTATATAATCATAAATAACTATGCAGGGGACACTATGCAATTCAACACTGGTCATTTTGTCTGTCCATATTATTTATTAAACTTTAGTACCCTATGCATAATCAATGTATTAACATGGTAACACCTCCTGCCTTGAGCTGTTGTTTTTATTTTTATTTTTAAAATCATGTATGTCTATATTAAATGTGTTTTTTAGATCCGAACCATGAGATATGCCCACCCTATTTGCTACAAGTTTAAGAATAGACTTATAGTTCAGCTCTTTCCTCAGTTACACAGGAACAGATACATCCTTTCAGTGCTGCATTGGATGAATTGCTCCAGCACTCAAAGAGTGAATTTCCAGTATGATAACAGATTTTGGATTCCTGATGGCCCTTCCAGCCTGTTATACTGTTTAAATATATGAAGACAGTCAGATTCATTTTTGAAACATTCTAGACTCTGTATCCACTCCTACTTTACCCTGAGCTCAATCATGATTTTAGCTACTAGGACACAAAGTGGAAAGCAACCAGTCCAGTTGGATTGTTACTTAGTAACCTGTAGCCCCGCCCCTTTTCTGGGCCTTGCACACATGGCCACCACACTCAGAGTTGCATTACTCTCTAATGCAGGGCAAGCTGTCTCATGGCTAGGTGAGTACACAATTAAGGTAAATTATTTTGAGGGATTGGGGGTATATATTTCTTTGTGTCTGCACTTGTAAGTTATGTTTTGTCCTGATGAAAGCTCCATGT